TTAATGAAATCAGACAGAAATATTATTAAGTAAATAACAATATTGATCCTTCTCCTCAAGTGTGAAATATAAGTATGGCGATTTTTACTCTGTACATGTGATCAATAAGGAAAGTGATAATGTATAATTGTCACCTAGATACACAGCTTGGTGACCTGGGGCAATTCAAAGGATGTTATTCAGTAACATCCACAGAAAGGTCATTTTGGGCTTGAAACATCAAAACAGCCATTAAATGGAGGCAGCGGCATCTTCTTGTTTGAATTGATTGGAATCAATAGAGGAATGATCGAAAAAGTGGGACAAGACCTTTAACCAAAAATCAAACAAGTCGGATATGGACGATCGAAGTGCAGATGAATGACATATTAAACTTCGAGGCGAACGTGACGTCATACGTTTACGAAAACCGACCGAAGATAAGAGGCCTTTACTTGGATGTTGACGAGTGCTTTCCATCTCATCCACGTGCTAGCGCTTGTAATGAAAACACAAAGCGTCAAATTCCCCTGAGTCCTTCATTCGTAAAACAAACCATTTTAGCCTTGCAAGTGGTGTGTAGGTTCCGTGCTTCAGAATCTTCAAAGGACATTTCTTCTTACTCCAGGTAAGAAAGAACATAAATTCTGTCTGTTATAGAACAAACCAAAGAATCCTGAAAGGAGAACTTACATAAAACAAGAGAATCTCGGTTTATAGACGTGCAATATTCTACTTAGCGAAAATTCAGCGACATTTGTGCCAAAATAATTTCGGTGAACGTGTTGCGAAGTTTCGCCTGAGACGTAATACTCGCATCTGTCGTCCTGTTGTCGGCGATTAAGTTATGAACAGAAAGGAAAGCTGGCAGCAATAGGCAAAAATACAACAGTATCTTATATATATACTTCCATTTAACGAAGGGCAAAGCTTATTACAATCCCTGAAACTTAAAACGGCAATGATGAAGTGAACAACGTGTCATCTGCAGCCACAAATGAAAAAAAAACGGATGGCAAGTAAATTTTCAGGCAATAGAAAGATTTGGAATCACGTTTACGGCAAGCGAACAACGCGAGAGTTCCACGAGGTGAAAGTCCTCCCTTACTTCTTGTTTTTCCGTTCATTAAATCTTCGCAAAAATATTCTACTTTCATGCCTGATTTATTTATAAGTATTACTTGGCACCTAATTTGAGAAATTGTCAACTTTCAATGTGACGTTTGAAGCGAAAGTTAATCCTAGTAATCTGTCTGGCCGATATGCTGCTGGCCTCGTACGAATGTTTGGCTGGTCACGCAATCCTAAGAACATCCGGGAGGGAGGCTAGTATCGCTGATCCCATCGTATGTACCGTGGAATTAAAACTTTTGAAGTCAGTTCTGTGCAATAAAATGCTTCAACACAAATTCAACGATTTTTAGCACGATCTGAAAAAACGTCTTAGAAAGCACAAGAAATGTTTGTAAACGCCACGGCACGACTTTTTTAAAAAAGTGTGTAACCAGATTGGTGAGACATAGGCTGGTCATATGTTGTGTTTAACTAACATTTTAAACAGTTACTAAAACGAAGGACTCTAGATCTTATCTTGAGGGCTGGAACATCTGCCGAGGACAGGAACATTTCAAACACATATATAGTTAATTAAGTAATGGAATCATTTCTAACAAAGTAACTTGTTTATTTAGTAAGCCAAAGGATGGCTTCGGATTCGTTTTATGAGGTTTTACCGAAATCGGAAACATATTATGGGTGTTGATAGAGTTCTTGCCCTTTTTAACTAGAGAAAAATTTATCGCTTTTAATTCTTAACTGTCGGGTTTGATGAAGAAAGCCTTGCACGTTATAATCAGACTCTAATCAATGTCTACATTTTTCCGTGACAAATATGGGAAAACTACGATGGTTGTCACGGCGGTTTTTCACATACTCCTAAAAAGTGAAACTCTTTTTTTATACTATTATGTTAGACAAAATTCACAAATGTAGTATAAAACCGGCAGTTTAACTGTCAGTTCAACTGCCAGTTTTATACTAGATTTGTGAATTTTGTCTAACATAATAGAATAAAAAATGAGCTTCACTTTTTAGGGGTATGTGAAAAACCGCCGTGACAACCATCGTAGTAAACTGTGTGCCCTCCATTACATGGCATTCACAGGCTTCGAGGGAGAGAAGGGCGATTGTGGTCGTTTAAGATTACGGACCAAGCCTAGGGTGGCCGCGTTTTCAGTTCTTTCATTGTTATCCAGACCGGATCCCTGTGTGTATAATCCTTGTCAATAATTCTAGAGGTTCTCTAAGGGGCTGTTAACATGGAGGAATGGAGATCTTAGCACCAGGGAGATCAGAGAAAACGGATCATCCTATAGCGTCATATGTTTTATGCATTCAGTTTACATGCAAAGGGTTGTACTCAGAGCCCTAATGCTAGGTTCCTCCTCGTGCTATAGGATCTTCCTACCTGAGAGGTAGGAAGACCCTAGCACGAGGAAGATTATAGCTCCACATAAACTACTTTCGCGAGAACAAACTGGGAACAAACCAGGTAAAAATGGCGGCGGGTCGATTTGTGGTTAATCGGGCAATAAATGCCGACAATTTTGTTACCAAACGCTGGAGATTATGGTGAGTCTGCCAGCTGCTAGTGAAACGTAGTTATTTTAAAATGCTAGTAAAGAGAGCATAAGGGCCCAAAATGGATTATTGTTATTTTCAACCGCCATCTTTAATTCCTTCTCTACTTGCCTTGATTTATTGTGTGAGCCACACGGACCAAAATTTCTGCATGTAAACCCAACTAAAAGTTGTTCCTCCTTCAGGCTAGGAATTTCCTGTTTCTCAGTAGTCTCTTCGTCGCATCTTGTAAACAACCTCTTTGCAGGCCCATTGTTTATTCATCAAAAATTAAATTGGATTTGTTACTCTGGCAAAACAATAGTAAATTATTCATGCAAGGCCGTCTTGGAAACAGAACTACAGCTCTCCCCGGAAACAGGGCGCATAATAGAGAATTATTTACGGTTATGATACAGGCAGCGAGAAACAGATAGGACAGGGTATGGTGGTGCGTGACATTTCAAACCCTTACTTTATTTCTAAGGTTTGAAATTACGTGTCCGGGGGACTCCGGATAATTATATCATGTATTCTTCCATTCAATCCTTGTTAACTGCTAACTATTTGCTTTCAGAGGTGAAGCCAAAATTTCGGGAAACTTGAATCATTATTCTACGTCCGATCATAATTTGGAAAGAGGAGAATTTGGAATTAGTAATGGTAAGTATAACCTGTAAGTACGTTTTTTATTCGTGAGTCTTTAAATCGATGCAGTTTACAAGACTCAAACGTAAAGGAATCATCTATATCTATTAATCATAATTTTCGAGAACCACCATTTTAGGGACCTCCACAGTAACGAATCCCAAAGCCACAGTTTTCTAAACTCACTCACTCACAGATATTTTCGGCACAACGTTAGTTCGTTTTTGATAGCGTGATATTCTCCCCTCGACTCTCCCAAAACACCTGAAACTTAACCTATATTATTATTAAGAGATTGACTTGTAGTATTATTTCCACGATATCAATGAAGAAACCCAAATATCTTATAAGTTATCACGGTTCACTTCGTGACTATTCCTTGAACTTATCGCAGATCATGAGCTAATTATTTAGCAATCAACGTTGCCATTAACTTGAAATGTAATAAAGCAAAAAAGGATAAAAATATACTACGAAATATGTACGCACACTATTGGCGCACAATTCCCAACATCGATACCAATTTGCCCCTGCGCTTGGCGGGCAAAGCGCAGCTCTTCTTACCTACACCTACACCAGACAATTTAAACGGGTTTGGACAAATGGTGATGAAGTTTAAAAGAACGCAAATACATTTTATTAGTGATGTTTCCACTACCGTTTTAGTCTTGATTGTGTAAACTTCCAATAAAAAATGAACCACCACCCGCTGCAAATTTCTTTCGGCTTCCTTTTACGCGGAAAAGCACAAACTAAGGCTTAATTGTGAAGGAAAACTTACTAGACAGTTAAACAGAGGTTTAGGATTAACTGAAATACAAGTACTTTTAACCTTGTTTCGTATGTTGAGGGCTGTGGTCCCATCTAAGGTCAATCGTGAAGTTCTGAAAATAATCTGTCTCTACGTATAAAAATTACGAAATGAATAGAGTTACCTTCGACAGAAACCATAGCCTGAACAAAAAAGAACACAAAACAAACAAACAAAGCTAAACATACACAAACTGTGGACGCCTTGTCAGTCGATTTTCTGTGATTTGCATCTCCCAGTGGCAAACTGGGAAAAAGCCAAGTCAATAGATTATCGGTTTCCTGAGACCAGTTTTGTTGAAACGTGCTTCGCAGACTTATTACACACGTGAATTGATCCTTGTGTATTATTTCCTATCACAACATTTAAGGCAATGATGTTTAATCCTTTTTTATTTATTTTGCCGGGTATTTATTATTTTTAGCTTTGGTCATTAATGGGCGTAGGGAAATCGGAAATAGACTCTGGAGACGGTTCAATTTATTAATAAAGCTGCTTCGTGTTTCGCTTTTGATAATCCCGGTTAGGGCTTTATAAAGTTGTACTGTTGTCTTTCATTCCCAAAGTCATTTGTGCAAACGTGAAAGATGTTTCATAAAAAACGTGAATTTGTAGAAAGATTCTGTGGTGTAACAATTTAATTGAAACCCAGTGAAACAAACTGGAGTTTGTTTTCACTTTTCTGGACTCTCATCTAGGGCGTTTTCGAGAATGTTATTCCTCATTCCTTGATTTCCTTTTTGCTTTGAGACTTTCAATATTACAATCCGACTTCGTTCAGCGGAAAAACAGGAAGTTGCCAAATATTAGGGATGTTATGCAAACCATATTCGGCGTTTTTTTGGAGTACTTAATCAGAACATGTTAGGGCATGCTTACTTTTTAATATTGCGCAGACAATTTATTCAATATTCGGCTCTTGGCCATTTACTTTTGTGTAGCCATGGCCAGGATTAGTGCAATCATATTTGTATTAGTTACCTGTTTGCCTTTTGAGACGGTAGCGCAGCTCAGGTGTAGCACCGCAGGGGTAGCAGGCTTAAAAGGATGTGAATGTAATTTCTTGGGTGCCTGTGATGTTAGTGGAAGGGAAAGGGCTGGCATGAACATATCAGAGCACCCGCCAAAAGGTCTAGAAAGGTACGCTCGTTTTGAGGATTCCTTTGGAACAAACCTAGCTTTTTTGTGCGAAGGTAAAACTGTGGCAATACTTTATGACTGTTTTAATCGAATACCACTGTATGCAGCGACGGTAGTTACAGGAAGACAGCTATCGACGAGGGACAGTGGACGACCCAAAGGGTTAGACGGTACATTTAGACAAAGCGGGACAGCGCTGCGTACGTTTTTTCAGCAGAATGAAAATGACTACACCCAGTCTTCCAAACGAAACACCTACTATAGAGAAAAGGTGGGAGATAAAATAGTTAAAGACGAGCAATGGAACAGAGCATTGAACATGAACCCATTGTTGCCTACTAAATCAAATGTTGTAATGCACAAGGGACACCTGATTGCATCTATGTACGGCAGAGGAAATTACGAAAAAAAGGTACAGACTTTCTTTTACACTAATGCTATTCCCCAGTTTGGAGATTTCAATTCTGTTCCGTGGAGAATTTGCGAGCAGAGGCTCATTCGGTGGGGTCAAGATTATTGTTTAAACGAGAAAACACCAGATGGAGTACGAAACGTTCTGATGTTCATTGTTGTCGGGGCGATTCCCTCAACCTTTAAGGGCCGCGGTCCCGCAAAACCGAGATTTTTTGGCAGCGGTGGATTCAGCAACTTTCAGGACAATGTGAACTTTCGTGTAAACGTTCCTTCAAAGATGTGGACTGCTGCCTGCTGTACCAATGAATACACTAACGGTGGACGAACCTACAACGTTACCAGGAGTACGGCATTCTGGAGAGAAAATACACCAGGAAAGTTTACATGTAATAGAGTTAGGGTGGATTGGTTGGAAGTAGATCTAACACCAACGGGAGAAGAACGAGTAAATTTGTTTCCGTTCTCCACTGAATGCAGGAATAAAGACAACCATGTAGTATTACCATAAAGTGTTCGCTTAAAGAATGTTTTTAATCTTAGTACTTTTGTTAGTTTGCTTATATTAGAGACTTTGAAAAACGTTTTAAATGACATCGTATAACTTCTGTTTTTTCGCTAGTCTTGAGAATAGCATAACGTTGACGCCGAAACGTCAACCTTTTGTACTTAATAGTAAGTGGAACTGATGTTTAGTTATTTTGTTAGTAATAGCTTTTTAAAATAAACATGGACGAAGTTAGTCGTCAAAGTGAAAGGCGAAAAATGCACGAAACAACGCTGTAACCCATAAAGGCACCGTCAGTAAACCTGTTACTGTTGTTGTTATTGTCAATTTTAAATTCCAAAAAATGTTTCTGTATGGACGCAACGTGAGATCGTATCACTATTACTGCTTCATCCTAGTTGTGCGAGGTATAGGGGGACTGGGTGTGGGTCGGATCATGGACGTGTGGTAGATATCGGCAAAATTTTGACGCATCTATTGTTTTGTTGTTGGCGTATTCTCGTGAGCTAGGCGATAAACCGATAAGAAAGTTCGCGTCATAAGACGACGTATAAATATTATCTTTTGAGGGGGGGGGGGGGGGGAGGGGGGGGGGGGGTGTGGGGGGATCGAGTGGTGGGTGATAATACGTCGAGAATTTTTTGTAGTTTGTTTTTTGGTGTTGGGCTGGTCGCTTGGGGGGTGGAAGAAAAAAGAAAGAAAATGTTGGGATAAAAAAAGGATAATAATTTTTTGTTTGGGGGGGGGGGGGGGGGGGGTATGGGTGATTTGGTTTGGGTAAGAATTTTTTTTCCTGAACCTCGGATGATGGAACACAAAGCTATTATATGGCAGGTATTTCCTCGTAAGATATTTTTTCCTAATCCAATTCTTCTTGACTAATATAGCTGTTAATAATATACTTTTTCAGACTGATTTTAAAGGAAGAAGGAGAGATTGTGTTACAAATGTCATTATCTAAGGAATTTTAGTATTTAGGACTCTGATATCTTACAGAAAATTGTCTAGGGTTTGTTTTACAGAAGGGTATCTTAAAAGCATCAGCGTTTCTTGTATTGTAGTTATGGGTCTGATTGTTAAGAGGAAAAGTCTTCCTAAACCTAATGGGTAAAAGTGAGTGCTTATAGGAATACATAAATTTGCCTAATTCTAGCAAACGAATATCACGAAGTTTTAGCGTACGATGCTCCTTGAAGATGGGATCTGAAGGGGCATCAAAGGTAGATTTATTTATAATTCTGATCACGCGCTTTTGTAGTTACAAGACGACGCAGGTTTGTTTAAGGGGAAGCCCAGACGATGTTGCAGTAAAAGAGATAAGGATATACCATAGAATATTACAGGCTTTTAAGACCAGATTTGGAAAGGAAAAACTAGATTTATATATTATTCCAATAAATTTGGTTCGCCACATGTGAAATATGGGCTTTCCAATCCAATTCAGATTTTCATCAAGAACAACGCCAAGAAAAACTGTTTCCTTAACTTGTTCAATTTGCTTGTTGTCAACATAAACAGGTTTATTATATACATACTGAGAAATACTCACCAAAAAGCTATGTCGTAAATTTTCGTACGCAAATTAGTTCTAGCCAATCAGAGGAGCGAACGATGGTTTTCACACGTGAAAAAAATGATACGTCCAATCAGAATCACGAACGATGTTTTTTCACGTGTGAGAAAAATGATACGTCCAATCAGAAGCCACAGAGGTGTGTGAGTTTCGCGCCAAAATTCCCGCCTTTTATTGCAGCTTGCAGCGCCGCTTCGCACACATTCAACGAGAAAAGTTTTACTCAAAGAGTTTTTCTCGCTAAAAAAGTGAAAAACATTTCGGAAATGGAGTGGAATAGTTTCGTTTGTTTCACTGTTGATAAAGAAAACGGTAGAGAGCCGGCGAAACAACAGCGGAAAGGGATAAACAGAACGAGACGTAATTTTGTTGTGCTTTTTGTCGGAGCTACTTTGCCTTTCATTTAAGCTTAAGCTTATATTGAAACCGGCCATTTTACTTAAATTCACTCATTTTCAATTGTGCATTGAGAACAAACAGTTAAGATTACTTATAGTTCTTGGATTACCTCATATCCTCACCGTCATTTATGTTTTTAACAAACGTTTTTACTAAAAAGCTGATACTTCGTTTTCGTTGTCATTTTGCGGTAAGTGTGTAGCGGCAAATTTTAGCATTTTGAAAGATTTAAAATAAAAAGGCCGCCAAAATGATGAATGTCTCAGT